TCTTCTCCGATGGCAGCGTTGAGAACATCGGGCCGACTCAACGAGCTCATCTCCGCTAGAGCATCGTCGAGAATCACATACACACGCAGGCATTACCTCTACCTTCAGGAGTGATGGACACTTTGTTGGTACGAGGCACATCAACGTAGCGAAAATGGACACCACATCCGCGGCACGGGCGCAGGAGGCTGGTCACCTCAACCGTAGTCCCTTCGCATCTACACACGCCAACAGGATTTCACGGGCATCAGGGGATCTGGACCCTCGCCTACGATCCGCGGCGACTTCGCGGCATGAGGGAGAGAAGAAAGTAACCTCATGTCGAACTTCTCCGATGGCAGCGTCGATTTGACGAATCAGGGAAGAATACGCGTGGCACTGAAGGTGCGAGTGAGACGGCAAATGCCTGTACTCGTCGTTAGCCAGTGTTCGCGTTTTAGGATGTAGCGAGGCGCTACATGACTCCCCTGCTTGAAGTAAAAAACGTAGTTTTTTTGAATCTGCAACAGAAAATAATTATTCTAGGAACAGGAAAATTTGTCAGGTTTGGCAAGCAGGTGAAGAACAAAAAAAAATTGAATGAGGAGACTTAGACGTGGTAGACGTGAATTGTCGGTCTGTTGGCGAATGTTACGCCTCCTCCGTCTTCCAGCAGCGGGTGCCGTGCTCGTGCTCGGCTGCGGCTGGTCCTGTTGTTGAGGCTCGTCGGGTACGTCTTGGTGCGGAGTCTGTCCTGGAAGCTGATTCATGTCCTCCGGCAGTATGTACGCTGGTTTCAGTCGGTCGATGGAGATCGGTGTGTTCTTGTAGTTTCCCAAACCTCCGGACTTGAACCAGATGACGAAATATTTGTCGTGGCGACTGATGACGCGAAATGGGCCGGTATGGTGGTCGGTATGCCATTCGCACGTGGTCGTCGCGAACGAAAACATGCGTACACGTTGATAAGTACTTGAAGATGAACGTTGAATGTATACCATGGTGTGCAGCCGGAAAAGGCGCGATTGTACGAAAATATTTTCGTAGATTTCTCACCAATTCCGGTGCTGCCGTTTATTGGTTTTCTAGCACGAGGAACTCTCGGGGTAGACGGATAGGTTCCCCATACGTTAGCCCAGCAGGGGTCATTTGAAGGTCGTCCTTCCACGCGGATCTCAACCCTAAAAGTACCAGGGGAAGTGCGTCGAACCAAGCTTCGCCGTGACATCGCAGTGCTGCTTTTAGTTGGCGATGTAGCCTCTCAACCAAACCATTTGATTGAGGGTGAAAAGGCGTTGTCATGATCCTCTTGGTGCCTAGGATTCGCGTGAGCTCCTTGAACGTGTCTGAGAAGAATTGAGCACCTTGATCAGATGAAATTCTCAGAGGTATTCCGAAGCGGGCGATCCGGTGGTAGAGAATCGCGTTAACTACTGTAGGCAATTTTGCATCAATCAATGGAACTGCCTCTGGATACCGCGTGAATCGATCGACGATGGTCAAACACTAGCTGTGTCCTTGTGAGGCAGGAAGAGAGATAAGATCGACGTGTATGTGTTCGAAACGTCGCGATGGTGTCTCGATTTCAGCTATTGGTGTAACCTTTGTTTTTCTGGCATTCCAGGCAGTGTTTGGTCCACTCAGAGCAGTCTTTATTCATGCTGGGCCAGACGTAGCGTTGCGTGACGAGTTTCCATGAACCTCTGCATCCAGGATGAGCCATTGAGGGCAGCGAGTTGAATACTTGGTGTCTCAGCTGGCCAGGCACATATGGACGCACTGTACCTGATGACACATCACAGTACAGTGGTTCGTCCATTCCTGGAAGTTGTAGTCGGTCCAGTCGTAGATTTACGTCCGGTCGCTGGAGTAGCCGTTGAAGCCCTTGGTCGTCGCGTTGGGCATCTATGAGCTGTTACATTGTGACAGCGGTTGAGACGGCTTCGACTCGTGACAGAGCATCTGCCACGACGTTGTCTGGGCCCGCGACGTACCGGATGTCCGTAGAGAACTGTGCGATGTAGTCCAATCTTCGCTATTGCCGGTATTGGTATTGGTATTGTAAGGAATTTCTATGGTTCATACTGTCGAACTGTTCATTTTCAATCAAAACAACAGACGAACATTTTTTAAAAATGTCCATTTCTAAGAAGGTCGAAGTAAAGAGAATGCCCCATATATCCCCAAACTCAACTCTTAACCCTCGAGAATGTCAAATGGAACAAGAGAGCCTCGTACGGTCACCCCTTGACAGTTCTTATCTGTATCCAAAAACCCCCCACATCCGCCCCAAACACGCCAATACTGATTTCTTAACTCTGATGACTGTAAAAAGTTCAGAGAACACATGTAATCCCTCCTCCCCTCCCCAGAAATAGGTAAATGATAATCAACGATAAAAAAACTGGACTCTTAACTCTGGCGGCAGGTAAGAGTTCAGAAAACACAT